GCCTGCTGGCCACCCTCCCCACCTAATTCTTCCAACGAGGCACATGCTTTCATCTGTGGTGACTCCATGGGATGTTGGGCTGAAAAATTCCCTTAATTGAAGAATGCTGTTGGGTCCAGGGAGGGGATTGCAAGCAGGACAGGGTACCAAGGACAGGGCAGCAGCATGGGGAACGGGGAAGGGGGGGGAAGACCATTGCCTTTGGAGCTGGGATACCTGGGTTTGAATCCTGGCTGACCATGAACAACTACCTTCCTTCACCTCTTGGGTTCCTGTCTCCTCCTCTGTAAAATAGAGGTATCCTAGAGCAGGGGTTCTTAACCATTTTTGTCATGGCCTCCCCTTTGGCAGTCTGATGAAACCTATAGGCTCCTTTTTGGAATAAGGTTTTTAAGTGCATGAAATAAAATATAGAGGATTATAAAGGATGCCAATTATAGTGAAATAAAGACAGAATTATTTTCTCAAGTTCATGGATCCCCTAATATCTATCCACATCTCCTCTCGGGGATCCTTGGATTAAGAAAGCCCAGGATCTTCTTACAGAAGAGGTTTGTAATCTTACACTCCGAAGTAAGATCTTCAAGGTCATAGGAAACCTTAATTTTAAATGCCAGTGTGGCTGAGGAGAAGGAATCCATCTACTAGACTAGGAGCCCCATGAGGGAAGAGATTGGTGCTTTAGTTAACATTTGTATCATTCCCAGGACTATATTCTGTACCTAGTAGGTACCTAATAAATGTTAAAATTCTAAGGATCATAGCTCTCAGAAGCCGCTGTCCTATCCATTCACTGTTGAACTGCCTCCCTTTGGGAGTGGCTGCCTGTGTTCTGTGAGCTGGGGTTCTCAATACCTTTGATGGGGCGTCTCACTAGGGGCAGGTAATATTAATAAAAGCGACAACCCCCATCTCTAAAGGTATTTAAGGTTTGCAAGGTACTTTATAACAACTTTATTAGTACAATATTATTGGTCCCATTTTACAGATGAAGGAACTGAGGAACAGAGAGCTTTCAATATTACTTACCAATAGCTTCCCCTCCTTTGTCCCTCCCAGAGAGTCTAAAGGAAAATAGGGATTCAGATCCTAGACTTCCAGGTTACCATGGGCTGCCTGGACAGGATCAGTGGGAAGAATCTGGCTCCACTCATTTGCCTCCCTTTTGCATATCTGTTCCAAACCTTGTATGGGGATGAATTTGTACCATTAGAGATGCAATCCTTTGCATCTTTGAGGCTTCCCCCCCCCAGAATCTCCTATTGAAATGAAAACATCATGAAGGAGAATAACACAAAGCTGATGTAAAAAACTGAAGTAAACAGCCTCATAGAGGTGGAGCTAGGAGGAACTGCAGAGGTCATTTGTCCAATTCTCTGATTTTACAAATGAGGAAACTAAGGCCCAGAGAGGTTAGGTCATTTGTCTGAGGTCACAGAAGTATTAGGAAGATGACCTGGAATTTGAACCAAATCTAGCCCTCAAGTTTTCTCACTCGCTCTCCAATTATGTTCATTCTTTGGCAGTCTACAGGAGGGGAGAGAGGGTGATTCATAGTTAGAATGGAGAAGAGAGAGGAGATATGAGGGAGTGGATGGTCTGGAGAGACTGCAGAAGGGATGGGGGAGGAGGTGGAAGGAAGCATATGGACTTGAGATGCTGCCTGAGGTTTAAAGGAAATTGTCACATATCAAGAGAGGTTTTACTCCAACTGAGGAAATACCCTGAGAATGACGCCAATGACTAGATGTGCAGAGAGCTGTTGAGCTCAGGATAGCAGTGGTGCTCCTTGAAGAAGTGCAAAGGACTCCATAAATGAGGGCTAGAAGGGGATGAGAGGGGGCCCTTCCTCCCACCCACTCCCACTCCAGGGCTCTGGTCTTCCCTTGGACCTAAGCCCTAAAGAACAGCAGGGATTGGGTTCTGTGTGAGGAGGAGAGGAGAGGAGGGTAGAGAGAAGAAATGACTCTAGCCTGGGTAGCAGCTGGGGTGAACATGTCCACAAGATGCTAGGAAGAGAGTCTAAGGGAAAATAGGGATTCAGATCCTAGACTTCCAGGTTACCATGGGCTGCCTGGACAGGATCAGTGGGAAGAATCTGGCTCCACTCATTTGTCTCCCTTTCCCGTATCTGTTCCAAACCTTGTATGGGGGTGGGTTTAATGTCTTTGTCTTTGGACCCCAGAAACACTATTCTCATAGTAACCTGGCACAAACATATACATACACACATGCATACATGAACATATGCTCAGTGTCCTAGGAAAACTGGGGATGGGGGATGGAACAGTGAGGGACAGACCAGCACGCACAGCTTGGTCCTGGCAGGTGGAAGAGAGAATGCCCCTGGGAAGGGGGTATGCTCACGGCTGGCTTACAGCTCTGCCTGACTCCTGCTGGACAGAGCCTTGGCTGACCTGTATGGCTGGGTCACTCCTCCCCTCATCAGCCCAGAGGAACTGGGCACTCAGGGAAGCCCCCGGAATTGTGCCCCCAGACCCGAAACAAAGGCAGCTCCAGGAACCGGAACACATCCGGCCAAGCACGCGGGAGACCCCACAGGAACCTCCATTAAGGAATGCAAATGTGGTCTCCAGGCAGCGGATGTGGGAGGGGACTGACACTTTCCTGCCATAGTGGGGGTGGGACGAAGCAGGCACGAACACCCAAAAAGAAAGAGATCTGGGTTCTGTGAGCTGAGAATGAGAAAGTGGGGTGAGGGGGTCACACTGGAAGAACAGAGGACCTTTGCCAGGGCAATTGGCGAGCAGAAGGGCTTCAGAACTCGCCTCCCATCCCTAGCAGGATGCAGCACAGCTCAAAGAGGACGCCTACAGGGTTGCCAACACATGGACCAGGGATTCACAGGAGATAATACAGCTTCTTGCCTGCACAGATTTGGGGGTACCACAGCTGGATTGCCCCCACCCATCCCTTACCACTACCAGAAACTGCCCAGGCATCTCTGCTGCTTCCCCCAACTATCCCCTTTAAATAAATGAATTGCCTCCAACTCTCAGCTCAAGCAGCTTTAGCCCCTCCCCATCAGTCTGCTAAAAGTGACTCTAGCATCTCCCCCAAAGGGCCACCCCCAAATGAACTGGCCCACCCCCTTTCCCTGGGCTTATCCAAACTGCACCAACCCCCATCTCCCTGACCTTGTGAATACCCAGGCCTTGGGGGCGGGGGGGGGAGGTCTCCTTTTTCCTGGACTCCCTTTCCCCATCTTGGATCGCTAACACAGGCCCCAGATGAGGCAGCAGGGCAAGGATGCCCACTTAGACTCTGCACAGATCCTGTTAGTGTAAAAATGAAAGGAGGATTTCAAAGAGTGGGTGGGTGGGAAGAACGCTTTCAGAGAAGACGGAAGGTTGGCATGTTCAGGGGAGGGGGCTGTCCAGATAGATTCAGCAGGTGGGTAAAAAACATTCAAGTCATTCAACACCACCACCAGGAAGCCCTCCCCTGCCCCATGCCACTCTGAAAGGAGACAGATCCTGGTGCTTCTGCCCCGTGTGTGTGTGTGTGTGTGTGTGTGTGTGTGTGTGTGTGTGTGTGTATGTGTGCTCGAGCTCGGAGGGGAGGGAGATAGGACATTGGGGGGGGCTGAAGTTTCACACCCAAACACCTCGGAAGAAAATAAGCCAATCCAGGTTTTGCTCTGGGGACCATACATTGTAAACTGCAGAATTTGACTTTTCTCTTGTCCTTTGACTCGGGTTAGTTTCCAGGGCGACAGCAGCAGCAACAGCAGCAGCAACAGCAGCATCACTTACCGGGTAGGAAAAGGGGGGAAAAAATAGTCTGCACTGAAAACTCGCCTTCACTTAGAAAGATGGAACTAAGAATGGCAAGAGGGCTGATTAGCTGATATGGAAGGCTTCCAGGGAAAGACTTGGACCTGATCGCTCTTCCTAGATCTGGATCCCTTGTATGACTGCACTATAGCTCCGTGACTCAGTTTCTACATGTCTAAATTGGGTACATCTCTCTACTCCCTGCCGTTGAGAATAAAAAATCTGTGGGTGCTGGAGGCAGAGAGGAAACCATCAGAGGGGCCTGAGCTTGGAAACAGGTTTCTTAAGGCTCTAGGCACTGGGCAGGCTTAGGGAGCTTTTACGGGGCACCCTCCACACCATCAGATTCCCGAGGAAGCTTCACGTCTTCTGCTCAGCTGGCAGAAATCCTTCCAGGAAAAAAGCAAAACATAATCCAAGCCAGAGTTACCCAGGGCTCCCAGCTTCTGAGAAATCCTCTAGGACCAGCATGGGAAAAGAAGAAGCTGCGCTGGGAACTGGTAGGGAAGAAGGATGCTCCAGAGAAGGGGGAAGAACCAGACTTAGGAATGTCTCATGTGACAGGTCCAGATCCGAAGACAAATTTTCCTGGGTGCAACACGTCTGGGAGGCCACCTCCGCGAAGCCCCAGACACTCCAGCAGGCTGGGCACCTGCTTGCCTTTTGCTTCCCGCCCGTCGACACAACCACACCGACCCATCTTCAAGGAGGCCCCGGGCCAGAAAGATTGGGGCTTTTAAGCCTCCGACGCTGGAGATGAGTAGGGGTGCCCTCTTGTCACTGAGGCCACGGTAGACCCGCAGCTGCCAAGGTCCCAAGGAGGGGAGGGGTCTAAGGGTCTTCGCCCTGGCCACTTGTGCTGTGAAGCTCCCTCCTCCCACATACATCTAACGCTCCCTTTTCCCTCCTGTCTATCGGACAGGATTTTCAGCCGCCCCTCTGGGGGCAACTGACCCTCCTCCCCTCTTCCCGCTCCCCGTCTTCTTCCTGGGCTCCAGATAAACTTTTCCCCGCGTGCTTTCGCGGGCACCCGGGGCCAATGGGGGGGGGGTTCTGGCCTGCTGCCTCCTCTGCGCTTTGCCCTCCGGGCTCGGAGAGCCAGGGATCAGAGCCCGGGGGTCGGGGGAATGACTGTCGAGGCTGGCCGAGCGCCCCTTCCCTCCTTCCGCCCATCCTCCCTTTCCCCCGCGGTCCCGCACTCACCACTCCCAGGCTCAGCTCCTCGGTCCGGGGCGCGGGCGCCGCGCTGCCCCCCCGGCCCTGCAGCCACAGCACGAGCAGCAGTAGCGGCGGCCCCAACCCCCGGGGAGCGCCCCGCACCATCGCGTAGCGCCCGCTGCGGCTCGGGCTCAGGCTCCGGCTCCCGGCCGCGGGACTCACATCGCCCCAGGGGCGCGCTGGCTCCAATCCCGGCTCCGGGGGCTTTGCGGACTCACATCCCCGGCAGCCCCGCGCCCGCCCCGCCAGCCTCCCCGGGCGCTGGCTGCTCTGCTCAGACTCAGTCCCTTTGCGCGGTCAGCTCTTCGCTCTGAGTGCGCCCGGGGCGCAACTGGCTCCTTCTCCAGCTCCGGCTCCAGCTCTCAGCTCAGCCCCAAGCCCACTCCTGCCTCTCGGACTGTTTGTGCAGAAGGCCCTCGCTTTGGGCTCCGCCGCTCCCTTCCCTTGGGCAGGAGAAACGGAACCAGTACCTCCACCTCCGAGCCGCCCGCCGCGCGTCCCTCCAGCCCTGGACACTGGCAGCGCCGGAGCCGCCAGAGCCTAGCAGTTGACAGGGGCGGGGCCATGCTAATGAGCCCAGCCTGGTGGGCGGGGCATGAAGGAGAAGGGGGTGAGATCTCAACCGCCCCACCTCGAAGCCTTAAAGGGCCAGCGCCGGCTTTTGGGGAAATGCCGCCGGCTGCAGGCAGAGGGCTCTACCAGGTCTGAAGAATCAGGGCAGCCGGGTCTACATGGCCGCGGCGGAGCTGCCCGGACAGCCCATACAATTGCGCCAGTCCCAAGAAGCGAGTTTAAGCCGGTGGCAGTGTGGATTCCCCCAGTGAATCGGATAATCGCGCCACCTGGTAGTTAGACTCGGCTGGCTGCTCGGGGAGCTCGCCCCACCCGAATCTCGCACCATTCCGGCGCTAGGACACATATGTGTCTGAGCTGTCCGAAGCTCTGGGGTCCAAGAGAGTGACCCCTCGGTTCGCCGCTCCGTCCGAGCTGAAGGTACCGCAGTGCCCGCGCAAAGGGGTAGGGATTGGACTGAGGGTGCTGACTCAGCCTGTAGCTGAGGAGTGGGGTTCATCTGGGGGCTGCGGAAGTGCCGAGGGTCCCCTCTTGCCTGAGCGTTGGCTCCGAGACACCTGCGCTGCCCACCGACAGGGAGGATCGGGAGAGGGTGTAGTACCTCTCCTGCTTCCCTTCTCACCCCTACCCTGGGTCACCTGGGCCACTGGGCACAGCTCTCCTGCTCCCCATCCTTGCCTCATGTGGTCACAGCCTACCCGGACAAGCTCCTAGGGATCCAAGATATTGCACAACACTTGTCCTAGTCCCTCGCCCTCTTGCTCCTCTTTCCTGCCGCCCCCGACACTCACCTAGGCTGATGCCAAAGGGCCCACTTGCCTCCCCTGTAGGGTTTCCTGGGCCTTGGGGAAAGAGGGAGGGAAGAGAGCGGCAGGGAGGAGTTCGAAATTCCTCGGATCCTGGTTTGAGAATAAGAAAGGAACCTTCCACATTATTTAGTTCCCTCTCCCTCATTTTACGGAAGAAGAAACTGAAGTCTAGAGGAAGTGAGCTGGCTGAGATCATACAGGAATTTAGTCTGAGGGCTGTCAAGCTATTCTTCGAACCAGTCCTTGGCCTGAACGGGCTGAGACCCTCCTGCTGTGTCTATCCAGTTTACGGATCAACTACATCTCTCAAAACGTCAGATCCGAGCTGGCAGGGCCCGTAGAGGCCATCTGGTCCATCCTCTTCTTTCTAAGGAAGAGGAGAAGGAAACTGAAGCCCAGAAAGCAGTAGGAACGTGTCCGAAGGCACCAGAGAGTCCTCGGAAAGCTAGATCTCCTGACTGGCAGTGGGGCTGTTTCCACGGCGGGGAGCTCACAGTCTGGTTGAGAGAGAGAAGTCATCCCTGGAACAATGAAACAACTGATTGGGAAGGACTGTGGGATCAGACTCTTAAGTGCCTGGAGCTCTGACAGAGATTTGTGCAGACTTGTCTCCCTGCCTCCCCGCCCCCTCCCAGTAAGGGGGCTGGTACTCAGGTTAGTGCCAGGGAAGGAACGACCACCCAAGGGTACATATGTGTCCTCTAAGGACCCCAAACCCGAACTCCTTAACCTATCCCCACTCCCAGTCTGGCTCAACATTCCTGATTTGAACTAGCCAAATTTCTATTTACTCCCTTCCCCCTTTCATTTGTATTGACCTGTGATTTCATTCCTATGAAGCACTCCCAGTGAGGGGAATTACTTTCTCAAAGCAGATAAGCAGCTACACATCTTAGTCTTGCCTTTCCTAAGGTCACACAATCAATCAATATATGTCACAGGCAAGACTTGAACCCTGGTCTGACTTACCCCTATGCTGTGCTGCTCCCCTCCCCTCCTTTGGAGACAGTCGAAGTGACTTGGCCAGGGTCACACAGCTAGTGATCGTCTGAGGCTGAATTTAAACTCAGGTCCTCCTGAATCCAGGCTCAGAGCTCTAGCCACCTAGCTGCCACCTAGCTTCTCCACTGTCACATGTATTATAAGGTAAATACAAAGTAACTTTGGGTGAAGACATTGGGGTTGGGTGGCACAGTGTCTTTTAACATCACCTTTGTAGAATTAATGTTGTCCATCTGTTATCATTTGTTCTTACTCTGTGACATGCCTTTTCCAGGCATATTGGATCCTTAGTTTACAGAGGAGACTGAGGTCATTACTCTTTTCTCTATCACTTGACTGGAATTCTGTGTTCCCACCCATCTTCCAAGAAATTAAGTCGGTCAAAGGATCAAGACTGTAGAGCTGGAAGGGACCTCCAGGACCATCTTGTCCAACCCTTTCATTTTACAGATGAGGAAACTGAGTCACAGAAAGGTTAGGTGACTGTCCAGAGGACCCACAGGTAGTAAGTAACAGAGCCAAGATTCACATGCAGCTTGTGTGTGTGTGTGTGTGTGTGTGAGACAGAGAGAGAGAGAGAGAGAGAGAGAGAGAGAGAGAGAGAGAGAGAGAGAGAGAGAGAGAGAGAGAGAGAGAGAGAGAGAGAGAGAGTTTCATGACCACCAGCATTCAGGCTGTGGGAGAGCTGGAAATGCAAGAGGGCCGAAGGCAGGTGTTCTTCCCCACAGCTCTGTAAAGCAGATCCTGGATTCCTCTACCCACAGCGTGAGATTATCTCATTATCTCAAATGAGATAATATATGCACAGCATTTTGCAAACCTGCATAAATGCCGCCCTATTTTCTTGTCCTGGTTTTAGAGAATCATAGACTTTCTGAGTGAGAAGGAGCCCTGGGAGTCATTTAGCCTAATGAGTGGTCATCCAACCTTTGTAGAGCTCCACTGAGGGGTGTCCCATGAGGCAGCTTATTCCACTTTGGGACAGTTCCTGGTGTAAGGCAGTCCCCCCCCCCCCCCATGTCAAGCCTAAATCTGCCTCTCTGTTTCTTCTCACTATTATTCTAGTCCTGCCCTCTGGAGCTAATCAAAACAAAGTTGATCCTTCTTCCACTGGACAACCTTTCAAATACTTAAAGACAGTTCTTTTGTCCTCCCCATGTCCTTTCTTCTCTCAGTTAACTCAGTTCCTTCCACTGAATCTCATAGGGCTTGATTTTGAATGAATGGATGAATGAATGGAAAAGCATCCATTAACAGATAACTTTGTGCAAAGTGTTGGGGATCCAATAGAGAGCGCAGGTTCAAGGACCTCCCATTTTAATTGGGGAAAACATACACTTAGGAAAATTCAGCTATGGGGCAAGTGAAAAGGCCCTGTGGTCCCTAAGGCGCCAAAGGCAAAGGAAATGGTATTGCATCTTCTTTACTGTCATCTCTACTGATAAAACCATATCCATTAATAACATGGAACTGTTTGACAATGTGGAAGACTTTGATAGTGGTGAAGACTGTCTCTCCTGAATCTGCAGGGGAGGTGGGGGCTGCAGAGGGAGTCGATGAGTCTTATCTCTACAAGGGCTATTTCCCTGGAGGATGGCTTTAGGGACTGGGCTGGAAGCAGGGATAATGTTCTGGGAAGAGTTGACATTGATGAGGCTTTGGGGTTCAGGGTTCTGGGCTATTCTATTTGTATCTAAGGGGAGGTGGTGGTCAAGGTGGTGTTCAGGTGGTAGGATTTGCCTGGTACATGCCCTCCTGTCTCTCCTTCAGGTGCCTTGTTACTTCAGCCCTTTATCATCCTGTTCTGGGTCAATCAAAAAAAATTTTTTTTGCTAAATATTTCACTTAGAACTGAACAGAGTACCCTAGACAGTCTGAATAGGGCAAAAGGGAATGCAACCATCCCCTTCCTATTCCTGGATGTCATGCCTCTTTTTTCTTCTTTTTTTGGTGAGGCAATCGAGGTTAAGTGACTTGCCGGGGTCACATGGCTTGTAAGTGTCAAGTGTCTAAGGCCAGATTTCAACTCATTATGTTCCTTAATGTAGCCATGGCAGGAGTAGTATAGTATCCTAACACTTTCATGCACGTTACGCTAAATTTTCCTTAAAAGTTATGGAGACCATTCTCAATTCTTGGTTGGCCCAGAGGACTAAAGATTTAGGCGGATGCCATCACTTGTGGGCAGTTTAAGTATGAAACATTCAGCAGTCTAACGGCACTAATGGATGCCTCATTGGTGGTTTATGATGGGCAACTCAGATATGGGAAGTTCATTCAGCCGAATCAAGTTGTTGTTCAGTTTTATCCAACTTGTGACCCCATTTAGAGTTTTCTTGGCAAAGATACCGGAGTGGTTTGCCATTTTTTCTTCCAGATCATTTTACAGATGAGGAACCTGAGGCAGACATCAGTTAAGTGACTTGCCCGGGGTCACACAGCTAATAAGTGTCAAGTGTCTGGTCTGAGGCCAGATTTGAACTCAGGTCTTCTCCAGGCCCAGTACTCTATCCACCGAGTCACCTTGAGATGACCTCAATACCTATCCTTGTTGAATATCCTTTTCCGGCTATGGCTCGGTAAATCTCTGACCAACGTCTTGTTTTGTTCCAGTTTTGAACTGCATCAAAATTACGAGGGGCAGAGCCAGAACAGACCCACTAGAGGAGTTGGCACAATGAGCTAGTTGAAAGTGGGGGAGAGGCAGTGTAGAGCAAGGTGAGCCCAGATTGGTTTTCATGCCAATGAAAACTTTTAAGACGGTGCCTCCAGAGACTGTAACTTCTTACTCTGAGGCATTACCCACTCCTGGTGATTAGAGAGTAAACTGCAGGTGGCCATTCAGCAAGGAGAGACAGACGTGAGCACGATCTGTGTTCTTGAGGCATGGACCCTAAAGATAAATGTAGTAAACTGCTTGAAGTCTTCCAGCTTTGCTGAGCCTTCCAGGCAGGTAATTAAAACCTCCCTCAAGTTCTATTGGGGAAACGTCTTCACAACTCAGTTTACCTTCAAAGCACTCAGGAGGGATTGAATTTTTTTAGGATCAAGAAAGAGATGTCCCCCCTTATTAGAAAAGGACAAATTTAGAAGAACTAGTTGGTACTCAGCCCTTGCTGATGATGCCTTTGAATTGCATCAAATGAATGCCATCAATTGCCTCGGAGGAAGCCTCCTGAAAGGGTCTTGCCAGCTTTAAGGGATTCTTAATTGTGTAAACTGTTTAGTTTTGGACGACTTTTTCGAAATGACTGTGCAGCTGGCCCGTCGGTCCTTCAGCCTATAATTGTTTCTGGACATCGCCAGCCATTGGTGGGGGGGGGGGGGGGGACCTGATAGAGAGAGAATGAAAACCCAAGGCAAATCTCTGGCATTTTAGGATTGTCCAGCAGATGTGCTGGAGGAACTCTCGGAGTGGGGCTTATCTTTTCATTTGGAGTTTGAGAGAACAACCACAATTTGGCCACATGGATTTGTTGGGTTGTTGCTGTTGTTGTGATTGTTTTGTGCAAGTCATTGAGGAGATTGGAAGGGCGATGCTCAATCCTCCCCAGGAGCCTAGGAACGTGTCTGGATGTGGGGATTTAGACAAACGTGCCAGTGGCACCTCATTTCATTAGCTGAGGACAGGCAGAGGTGCTGCATTTAAAAGTCTAGAAAGTTTCCTCTCTCTTTGTCTCTCTCTCTGTTTCTCTCTGTCTCTGTCTCTCTCTCTCTCTCTCTCCCATTTTTCTGTCTCTACTCTCTGTTTCTCTCACCCCCTGTCTCTGTTGCTGTCTATCTTGCTGCTCTGTCTCTCTCTCTTTGGTGATTTCCTCTCCCTGTCTGTCTGTTTCTGGCTTTCTCTCCTCTGTCTCTCTGTCTGTCTCTGTCTCTTTTTGTCTCTCTCTCTGTCTCTGTCTCTCTGTCTCTCTCATCTCTCCCTCCTCACTGTCTGTCCATGTTTCTTTCCTTCTTTCTGTCTCTGTCTCTCCCTCCCTCCCTTCCAATCTGCCTGTCTCTCCCCCTCCCATCTCTCCCAGGGAAAGGACACAGAACTGGGCCTCAGGAGCATCTCCTCACCCTCACAGAAATTGCTACTCCTTGCACAGAGAGAATAGAGCCCGTGTCCTGGTCTCCAGAAGTCTTGGCTCTGTGACTTTTTGTGAGGCTTTCTGTCTTTGACCCATCACAGGAGGGCAGAGTCAGGCCCCAGCAGCAGCACCCTTAGACGCCTGCTGAGCACTTTTGCCAAAGCGGGCAGCGTCAGGACCTGCACTCATGGGGCAGTCGGACCCCGGCAGAGGCAGTGTAGTGGTGCACAGACCTACTGGAATGCTCTGATCCAGGATAGCGCAGGAGAGCTCAGGCCCCAGGAGTGGCTCTTGTCCTGTCCTGACACTAGGGTAGAAGTACCATTCAGAATGGCTCCCAGTGGCAGAAGAATGGGCATTGGTGTTAGCCCCTTCACACTGCTGCCAGTACATACCTGGTCTTCATGGTGTAACTCCTCCCTGGGGAGGGTTGAAGCACCAAGGGTGGTATTGCTGGGAGGGAGCTTGCTTTCTGGTAACAGGGGAGAGGTGAAAGTATCTAACTGGTCCCCACAAAGGAAGGGGAGCGATCCCTCAGAGACTTCTCATGGGGTGAAGATTTTGTTGTTATTCAGACATTATTTGTTGTTAATCATGTCCAACTCTTTGTGACGCTGTTTGGGGTTTTCCTGGCAAAGATATGAGAGTGGCTCAATATTTCCTTCTCCAGTTTCTTTATAGATTTGAACTCAGGAAGATGAGTCTTCCTGACTCTAGGCCCATTCTCCCACTAGCTGCCCATTCTCTGGTTATAGCTAAGTAAATCTCTTTCTGTTAACTGCTGAATCACCTACCAGTGTCTCATTTTGTTTCATTATCAAACCTGAACTGAGTCAGGCTCAGCCT